TACGTAGTTGAAATTAGGTAATACAACTAAGTCATATTGCTTTCAAACGAGACACTCATTTTGATTTCATAGCTCATTCGACCATGAAGGCACATCTTTAGTCAAAATTTAGTCATTTATAACTTAATGTCTAACATTAAAGTCACAGAACTTTGAAGGCATTTTATAAGTTAAAACTATATATTTTCGACTTCCATATAAGACTTGAAACATTATTCGACTTTTAGAACATTTTTTAGGTCAAAACTTGGTAATTTCATACTTAATTAAAACAATCTGACTTTGTCTTGATCAAGATGCCCAGCTTTGCTGCTTGGGATAGTACACGTGACATAGAATATAGCATTTTAGTAACCAAGGTAGGATTTTAAAACGTACCCTTGTTCGGTTATTACTGGCAGTACTGAAAAATCTATAGTATACGTGACATAAATCTATAAATTTTCAGTAAAAAACGAACGCAGCCTTCGTAATTGATATATTCTATTCCGGTGTGATGTGAGCACTCAGGTGTTCCGCGAACTTCATACTTATTAAGTCGAAAAATAAGCGTCTAAACGACGATTAGGACGCGCTTGATTTGACGTGCACGCGACACTCGAGTTGTCATACGCGCGAACGAGATTACTGATCACGTTGAATTATTATCGGAGCAATGAATTCACCGGGCGATGCATTGTAGGTACGTATTCGCGTCATGTCGCGAGTTTTTCAGTAAGCTTAAGCAACAGTTAAATTTCTGTCGCTATTTTGATACGTATTACAGTATTTGTTAGTATGTCGTAAATTCTATCAAAAGATCACACAAATTTCGTAGAGATTATATAGCGCATTACAAACATTCGAGTGATTGTTAATAGTACGTAGTACTTTTATTTAGCAACGTGTCTCTTCAGTCTCTTATATTTATATATGTGTTATAAATTTTTTAATATAATTATACTATTTAATATAGTTATACTATTTTATTATTTTTTCCATACAGGTTGAGTTTTTTTTATGACAAATGTGTGAATTGTTGACTTACTGAAATTTAATTTTATTATATAAAATATGGTGAAGCTAGTTGTGCCAAGAGTACATTGGACAAGATTTGTATCTTTACAATGTGTGAGTATGATATAAATTTTCTATTGTATGACATCACATGCTTAGATATAATAAATAAGATAAAAATATGATACTATAAGTCTTGCATTTTCAGTTGTCAGCAAAGCCAAAAACTATACTCAATGATAAAACATTAAATTTGATTTCTAACAATGGCCTAAAATATAGGCATCATCCTGGTATTGTCAAACCTAGAACACCAGTATTCTCATCATGGACATCCATGGAAATAGAAAATATCTTGAAAGGTACGGAAAACACAATTGTGTATATCATTAATATTAGAGATGTGCATTATTTGAAATGGATGCATTTAAAATAGAAATGCAAAATGTAAAATGCCTATTTCGTATTTTATATTTAAAATATATTTTTTCAAAACCTATTTTACATTTCCATTTAAATGGTTTTGATTATCCATTTTCTATTTCAAATACAATTTTCTCGTAAAAAATTACTTGAGATACAGGCTAACTTCCATTTTTGTTTTCTATGTATTTGTTTGTTTCCCTTTCACATACATATACAAAGGCTGCGTTTTGATATTCACTGCCAGTACTAAATCCATATTTTACATTATATGTACTATAGATTTGCAATATTGGCAGTAAATATCGAAACGCAATCAAACTAATATACATAAATACTTCTTCTACTGCTCTGTTTATCTATAACGAAACAAACTCAAGAGTTGCTAAAGTTCCGCTAGATTATGTATCAGTGTTTACAGTGATAATACGATGTGATTGGTAGAGAAATAAAATTATTAAGAATGGAGAGGACACTTCATATTTGCATTTTTTTTAAAACAATTTCATCGCCTACGGTCTCAAACCTTGACAAAAATAGAATTTGATTATCAATATATGTACTACGCAGTGATGCTACTAGTATATGTTCATTCTGTTATCCATAAAGCTTAGATATAGAGTGGGAATAGCCTATTCAAACAATGAGTGGGAAGTGTGAGCAAGATCTGAGAGACAGAAAAAATATACTTCTGTCCTACTCATGTACTGTTTTTCTTTCTTTCATGTGCTTGCGCAAGTGCCACGTGATATACGAGATTTGTTTTATTTCCTGAAATAACCTGTAAAATAGCAG